TGGCACAAAAGGTATGCTAGTAAGTTACATTTATTTACCGCCAGGTGGCAGGTGCAGGTTGTGTCTTTATTTGTTAACTTAATATGATAGTGGACAGTGATAACAACATGGTTCCAAGTCTGATGTTGTGGTACAATAATGGTAGTCCAATTTTAATGATATGGAGTGCCAGTAGATCGGTAAGGGCTGGCTCAAGGCCGCATCTCCATCGCGGTACGCAGATAACATTTACAACGGACATTGCTGGTTACGTGTGGACTGCGCGCAGTGTGACAGTTTTGATCCGCCTGTGTGTACTCGTTGAAAAATAGACCATCACCTGCGCTGACGGCTCGCCGGCGTCCGTCGGAGGCGCGCTGCGGTAACGGGGCATTGTCCGGCCGGTGGTAGCGGCGGCCAGTTTCTGACTCAGCGTCTCCGGCCTGTTCCAGGCGGGGTGGCGCCCAAACGTAGCCAACAATGACCCGTGAGTACACCGGGGCGCACTTTCCGCGTCTGGGGCTCATTTTCCGCGATTGATTAGTTTTTTTTTATCGACGTCAGTTGTCACTCGTATAGTGAATATGCCTAAAACACCATTTTACCTGATTTTACTATGTCTCGAAATGGAAGGAGTGATTTCTATATTTAGTTTCATATGTCTAATTTCACACCTGACTATTCACTGTGGTCCATTAGAGCTCCATTCGGATCACTCTGTGCGTGTTCGGGATCTTCGTTCTGTGACCGGGCTGCGTTCCGCGTACAGGCGGAAACCAGAGAGAGCTGGCCCGCCAGAAGAACATGAAGAACCAGAACAAGGCCAAGAAGGCTGACGAGATGCAGGGCAACAAGGGATTAACCAAGGAGCAGCGCCAGCAGAGGTGAGGCGGTCGGCCGGGAGCGGTGGGGACGGGGACGGGGGCAACAAGGGACTGACCCAGGAGCAGCGGCGGAGCAGAGGTGGGTGGGTCGCGAGGACCGAGCAGCTGAGCGGACGAGGGAGGGGACGCCTGAATTCCCAGGGGTGGGGGCTGGGCAGTGGACGTGTCGGCATCCTGGTATTTCCACATTGTCAGTGTGTATGAATCATTAGCGTCGCCACGGGGGGGCAAGCGGGGCAGCTTGCCCCCCCCCCCCAACCTCGGACCGGGCACCCCCTGAGATCGATACAGATCCGATGAGATTTTGGAGTCGGGAAAAAATGGGGGTACCTTTCTGAGAATGCCTGTGAGGTCAGACTCGGTTGGAGCGTGCAGTTCAAACCAGAGTCTGACTCGCAGTCGCCAAAATCTTCAAGACTCCGAGTCCAGACTCTGAAATGTCAATGCTGCGATCCATTCCATGTTCCTAGTTCGTTCTTTATTACATTTTATAGCTGATTTTCATAAGTTTTGGAGTGCTGACACAATTTTCGTTCAAAGCGTGAAACGAAATCTTAGGGGCATTTCTCAACTCTCGTCAAATGTCTGTGACAGGCTCAAGTACCGTACAAGTGTCGGAGGGCTCATGAGCTTGCTTTAAACAAAGGCTCCTAAGGAGCTCCACTGAGCCCTAAAGAAGCTTTCAGAGGGCCCAAACCGGCCTCTGAAAGTTCCACTGGTGTCCATGTTCTCTGAGGGCCCATACAGGGATCTTCGAGCCTTCGAAGTTCGAACATTTCTGAGAACCTTAACTGGCCTCTGATAGTTCAGTCAAACTTTGGAGGCGACAGACCTTGCTAACCCCAAGCCGGCATCTGAGGGGTCACAGCTCACGTGTCCCTCTGAGGTCCGCAACACCATGTTTATTATGTCCCTACGTAGGGTCCTTAGGGATTCGACACAGACCCCGAGGGTTCACACTGTTATCCGAGGGCTCCAGGCTCACCCTGGGCCTAGTCTCTTAGCGCCCGCCGCCCACACTGGCTTCTGAGGCTTGGGCTCGGAAAGCCCTAAAGCACCACGTACACGTAAATATTTGAGGTGACCCACGCCGATCTCCGGGACCCTAAGCATGCTTCTGAGAGTCAGCACTGACCCTTAGTGGCCTGAAATGGCCTGGAAGTCCCAAACCTATCTCTGATGGATCCCTTGCCGCTATGCCGTGCGTAACTTTTGGTTCCGTTTAACAGTTTTTGTGCACGTTTGCAGCGCTTCCCTTCACACGAAAAACGAGAAACTTTTGTTCACACTCGAGTGAACAAAACACTTCCTCTCACTAGAGCAAAGATGAATTAGGTACTTCCGATTCACACTTCCGACATTCACTCTCCGCCGAATGCCCAACTTAGCTACGATCGGCGGCTGGGATAAGTCCTATGCATTTCACGTAAAACCTCTGCATGCATGCGTGAATGGAGGTTTTAGCAGGGTGATCCGATTAAATGGAGCGTTTTTCACCTTTTTCTGGGTAATGATCATTAGAGTCGAGCGTCTGCACAGGGGCCCTCTGCAGTGCGTCGGCAATCGCAGCCACTATATACCATTTATAATTCTACCAGTCGTTTTTGTCATGGAATTTCAAAATTTCGAATTTTTCTGTAAAAATTACATGTCATAGCTAGAAGGAAACCTTTGTCACCATCGGATTCCTCGCACCATTGCGCGTCGAATGATATGTAAAACGAGTGAGTAAAGACTGGGGAAAGGCAAGTTTTAACACAAAAGTTGATTTTGCCCCCCCCCCCCAACCGAAAATCTCTGGCGACGCCTATGGTATGAATAGTTCGGTACCTGTGTCCGTGGCATGGTGCGACTCACCTGTCCACTTGTGTGGCAAAGTTCCAATGGAATCTCCAGCAAAAGCTGCCATTCCCTGTATCCAGATCGATTGATTCAGAGCTGCCATTGAGCTCACAAATGTCCGCGCACGTGAGCCACACGTAGCACGGCACGTGACCGGCAGACCTGGTTGCATGGCTGGGAAGGCGTCTGTTCGAGGGTCGGAAGGACCCGGGATCGATTCCCGGTGCGTTCTGATCTCCGGGGCTTTCCCCTAGGGGTGGAGTGAGGTGCGCGGTTGCCTGCGCATGATTGGGCTTTTTGTATCGTGTATCTTTTTTTATATGGAAAAAATCGTGATATGAACCAAGATGCACCAGCAAGTCAGTTAGCAGTTGTAGCATACCTAATTTAACCGGAGATGAACTGCCAACTCGGTTAGATATTATGTTGTAAGAGATCATGTGATCAGTACCAGCGGTGATTTGTATAATTACGGCTGCCATTCCGCTTGCCACCTGTGGCTGCCAATTGCCAGCTACCGCCTAGTCCTCCCCTGTGCTGCGGTCGCCACTGACTCTGTCCCTCTCGCCCCAGGGATGCTGACATGATGCGACTCAAACAGCAAAAGGCGGCCGAAAAAAAGGCTGCCGAGACGGCGGCGGGGGCCGGCGGCGGTAAAAAGTGAGCCGCCCCGACCGCTGGGACGCTCCGCCGGCCGCCCCCGCTCCCGCCCCCGCCCGCGACCATGCACTGTGCGATATCATATTCAAACTCACAATCGTTGCAAATTGTACTATAGAATATTACCGGAGAGCGGTGACTCGGTCGGAGGTTCTCTGGAGATTCGCGATCGGCGCGCGCGGCTACCGCTTGGCTCGGGTGATCTTCCTGCGGGCGCGGCGCCGGCATTGCGTGGCCGCCATTTATGGCTTCTCTCGAGTGGACTGGAATCCAGGTGACGGGTTGGATCCTGAGTTCTCGGTTTAAGTGTGCATTAATTGTTTCCAATAAAATGATGGCGTTATTGCAGTGTTTTCTGTGTGTCCGCATGAAGATGAAATGGGTGGTTGTGCGACCGCTTCTATCTTGTTTATGTTTAGCAGAAAAGATCGGAAGTGTATCGAAAGTTGAACCAAAATAAAATTTGACCAATCCATAGTCTGTCTTGTGTCTTGAAGGGACCCCCGCGAAACATTGTCATCTATTGGCTGGCAAACGCTGCGTCGTACGTACACTGGTACCGCTCGCCGGCAGGCGCTCAATAAGTCAGTTCTCGGCAGGTGACCATTGTCTCCCGTTTCCTGTGGCCCGCGGTCACCGCCGTCCGATGTTGGTTCGTCGGGTAACCCCCGGTGTCGCGCTCAATGAGCCACCGCCTAATTAGCGCCCGTTTCCGTCTGGTCCGCCGACAGGTCACGTTGTCCGGTCCGTGCCCGGTGGTCTGTACATATATAACCTGACCGTTTCGCCACGCCGACAGCTCCGAGCTGGATCTGCGTATTACCGAGTCTAAGAGCCGGCGCTCTGTAGCGCGATACTGATAGGTGCGGACGGCGCATCCGCTCGGCCTTTTTACCGTGTTTGAGAGCGGGCGTTGCCTAGAGACCGTCGCTCGATCGGGAAGGGTCAGGAACTTGTCTAAAGACTGTCTGGGTAGGAGGATAAGGATGGATGGTATGCCGCCTCCGTCTTGTTCACTTCAAGCGAGGTCGGCGCGGTTATTTGTGTGTAATGTAATAAAAGTACCGCGGATGTGCATTGTGCGTAATTTTACGTCAATAGACAAGCCTCGTTGACAAGCTTATCAATTATCCATGAAACGAATTAACAGTGGTATTTGCAGAGTCGGAGTGTCCGAAAATTTGTCCAGCAGCTCAGCACACTACAAAGCCTCCCAACACTGTCAGGACAACTGACATCATCAGGACAGAATCATGGTGTGCCTCGGGCCTACTTTCCAGTCGAGGTCCATTGAACGGGTCCCTGAGGCAAACCACTGTTATATATTGCTGAGTGCACCATGTAGATAGTGCTGCGCGGTGTCTGGACAGCCGACCCGAGGCTCTTATCGTCCTGGTAGCAGACAGAAGCCCCATCGGTTATAGTCCACGGACGGGCCGGCCGCCGCTGCTGCCACCTGTCGGTCGGCTCGGGGAGTTTCCGGCGGCGGCCGCCAGAGGCGCTGCGGTCGCCGGCCGCTCCCGGGCAGGTCGGCCGGGTGGGTCCGCGGCCACGCCGCAGCGCCTATCGATTGGCGTCGGCTGGTTGGCCGTCCGTCCGCCAGGCGGCTGGATGATCAATTGTCGCTGGAGCGGTGTTCGGAACAGTGTGTGACCCAGCCTGGGGCGCTGCAACACGCGAGAACGGCTCAGCGCGACCCGGCGACCGACCGACCCAGCTCGGCACAGCTCAGCGCGGCGACCACCAGGTGAGGAGGGGGCGGGGTCGAGGGGTGGGTCGGGTCAGACGGCAGGGTGGTGACCCGCGGCATATTGAACCTAACCAGCGCACCGAAACACAGATTCGGTCACACCTTGACCTAACATGGGTCTCCAGAGGCGCTTTAGATGGCTCCCGCCGGAGGCTCGAGCTTCCAAAGCGGCCCGGCAGCTCACAATGTCCCATCATCCGCTATATCCCGTGCCCAGCTGACGGAGCAAACAGCCGGGAGGGGTGCGGGGGGAGGGGGCTAACCAGCACCCCGGGCGAGGTCGGCACCCGGCCGGCACGTGACCTGTGACATCACATGGTCGAGTCTCGGGCTCTCCGTATGGTTCGGTATTGGCGGCGAGTCTGCCATGCAGCGCGCTCGCTGCGTGCGGGGAGGCTGATTTGGATTGTCCCAAATCGATTGCCAGTGGCGTGTGAGAAGGGCGTGCCTGCCCAAAGGGTGCTGTCAGTGGCCGGTCCAGGGCCGGGGCGAGCGGTTTAACTGACGCGTGTGACCAAGTGACCATCAACTGAATCACATGCTTACTGCTAAATGCCTTTTACCGACAACTTGGCATGGTCCCCACCAAAGCTGACTTGCTATCCAGCCTTTCAGTCACTGTGCCAAATATACGTGTTGATGTGAAGGATCAGACATACCTAATTTTACAGGTATTCTAGCGGGGTGACAACATTTTGTGGTTTTTGTCATCGTCGCTCGAAATAAAATGCTTGTTATTCGTCTTATTCGTGTTACGTACCTTTAGATGGGTAACTTATTGCTTTTTACTACATATTTTATTTTTAATGCTCGCATGTCGCTATAAAAACGCTCTCCTGCGAAGCACTCTATTCGAGCACCGGCGGAGACCTGTCACGACGTCAATTTTATGTCGTTGGCTGCACTTACAAAGTTTGACGGCGACTCGTGCGATCGCTGCGAACAGCGCGGCGCAGTTAGGCGCAGTCGTCTGACCGGCTGAATTTATGGGAAAACTTGCCCGGCCGTGTGAGCGAGCCGGCCGGCAAGTTGCCCGCGCTGCCCGCCCACTGCATGTCCGCGGCTTACCTGCCCGGGAGGCGCGGGGCGTCCCACGTCGGGCGACCCGATATCCACCGGTCGGCCGGACGCAGGGCGCTGGTTGCGGCGGCAAAGACGCGCTGCGGCTCCACGAACCGACTCTCGGTGGAAAGATACCTGCGGCCTACCCATGTCCTCCCGGCGGGGCGAGCTGCGGTCCAATAAGCTCTCGGTGCGTCGTATGTCAAAGGGTGAGACTACTTAGGTGCTGTGGGGATATATCCAATCAACCGAGAGCTTGTGGCCAGGTGATTTGCGCACTGAGTAGTTATGTGCAATATTCGCTGTGATCGGGCCAGACTTGTAAACGACTCTGAGTTGATTCGTGAATCGACTCAGAATCAAACCATTTTTCGATGAGTCGTGAGTTGATTCGAATCACTTCATCGAGGAACTTGATGAGTCATGAGTTGATTCGAATCGATTAAATTTAGCATCATGAGTCATTTGATGAATCGATTCAAAATTTCCGACTCAAACAAAGAATCGACTCAAAAAAAATTTGAGTCGTTTACAAGTCACCATCAACACCCTAATAATCAATGCTAGATCACTCCCTCAGCTTTAGCCATCACTTAACTCCATATTTCAGACTTACAAGAGCCTCAGAGGCTCAGGCACAGGCGCCTAATGAGCCAAAAGCATTTGGCAGTTGGTAGGTACTTAGTCTTACCAAGCCAAGTGCCTGCTACACTACCTAGGTACCTACATTTTACATGTCAGAAGTCAGAATTGACACCTGCGGCCAGGGGGCGTCGAAGTCTAGTTCCTACCAACCTGGCACTCCCATGCCTACGTCACCACGAGGACGCCCGAGGGCATTTACATGTTGAAGATAGGGAAATTGCCATAGTTTAGAGCCGCCTGGAGGGCAACCTTGAGATAGATGATAGTGTAAATGTGTGCTAATATGATCATCAGCATGTTATTTATCCAAATCCAGGGCCAATTAATCGATATCTTGTCACGTTTTCCAGTGGTGATGCAATAACTTTCGTGGTTCTTGGAGCCAATAAGGGTGTTTCATAGTGCGATTCAGCCGCATCAGTGGCGGCGCCACGAATTTTCGCCAGTGGGGGCAAGCTTGAGACTGACCCGACTGTTGTCTGATAACGCCGATCTGCAAAATCCATGAGCACATTGTCCCTAGATGTTGTCATTCAAAATTATTTTGGTTTTAGGTTTCATGCATAGGCGTATTGAGTTTAACCATTAACCCTCGCGGGCCCGGAAAGGGGGGGGGGGGGCATTTTTCGCCTCCCCTGGCGAATATTTGCGATACCTCACGAACGCTTAGGGATAGAAAGACGAAGCTTGCTGTACCTTATCCCCCATTAGTTTGACATCTTTTGAAGCAAAAAAATTGGACCTAGCCTCCTTGATAATGTCTCAGAGCCGATTTTTCTAGACTCCTGCACGGCAAACTTCGTCGTCACGGACGTGAACTTCAACCAGCTGCCAAAAATTGAGTTTTAGAGATAAAGACAAATTACGAGCACGGTTGTGTAGCATTTGACCCAGAAAAAAATACTTAAGTAACTTTGGTGACCTGAGGTCAGAGGTCAGGGCAACGACCCCGAGCTGGGGCTTTAGTTTCTTTTTTTCGCAAATAACTTCAACAAAAATGGTTCTGGAGCTACGGCAGTGGTACCTTCGCATTAGTCTTGTCGAGACGCGTCGAATGACATATATATTGTTTGGAAAAGGTCAAGTTTTATGTTGACCTCATGTGACCTCGAATGACATTTGGTTGATTTTTTACACATGGAAGGTCATTTGTGATGATTTCGTAGCCGCGGATCACGATTCTTGGCCTCTGGCATCCATTTTGCTGTAAGCATTCATTTAGAGCCTCAGTATGGCAAAACATGTTTTAATTATTATGCCTGACTTGAATAGTGAAATAGCCTCTAGCAAGGATACTCTCTTGTGACTTTGACCTCGTAGCAGTCTTGTATCGTAAGCTTAAGCACAAATAGGGGTCCGCTAAGCTTGAAAACATATCAAAACATCTCGGAATTTAGTATACAAGATATAAGAAAAAGTGCAAAGTTTGTGGTCAATTTTGAGCATGATCGTGACCTTGAAGTTGAATGTTATGCACATCATCGGAATCCACGGATTCTCTTCTTTTGTTCAACATCCCTTTTAGCCGATTTTATGCACCATGCCGTCCTCTGGAACACGTACTTTGAGACCACTACATTAATGCCGGTTTTTGCCTTTGACCTTGAATTCTGACCTTGAAAACTGACCTGAGGTCAAAAAGTTTCGGTGCTTTAGAATCTTCTCATAGATACTTTTCGTTTGGTACCATTTTTGTTTCAGTAGCTGCCTTATTAACGGAGTTAAACAGGGGGGGGGGGGGCTACCCCGGGCTGCGGTGGTTAGGATTACCCCCGGGCCGCCCGGCCGAAATAAAACTATAAAACTAGATTGCGAGACACAAACCTGTGAAAACTACTGAAAACGTTATGTTGTTCGTTGAGATGTAAAATGGTGTGTTCCTCAAAACTATAGTCAGTACCTATTTCTCATTTTCCCCGTAGTACGTATATATTTGCGATTCTCTCACATACGATTGATATAGGTACGAGAATAAGCTCCATTAGGGCGACCCACATACAATTCCAGATAACCCGGGATATACATACCTATCACATTTTGTCATACCTCTCTGAGCTCAGTCTCAGTCTAAGGGTTCCCAAAAGAGGGTGATCTCTTCTCTGGCCGACTTTTGATAAACTGCTTCTCAACCTCCTCGAGATTAAGCTCTAGGGCAGCCTTTTGGTGAATGAAAATGAGTAGGAGAATGAGTGGGAGTACGAGATATGCGACAGACGGTCCGAGAACGAACGTTCTGCTGACGCACTTGATACGAGGACCGTCAAAAACAGGCGTACTATTATAACCGCCTATAATGAATGTTGCACCGGTCTTCTGTTCCCATACATCAGCCAAATTTTGTGGGGGCAAAAACATAGTCTTGCCCCCACGGCCTCCTGCCAGTGGGGGCAGTCTGCCCCCACTGCCCCCACGGTGGCGCCGCCCTTGAGCCGCATTATAGACTTTAATGCCATAAACCGCCACGGAACATATGATTTGCAGCTCCCTGGCGTGATAGCTGCCAGTAGGGCTCCGGAGTCGGAGTCATGAAGTCGGTCGGAGTTGACAGTTCTGACCTGAGTCGCCGAGTCGGAGTCAGAGTCGATTTTAAAGCTGGAGTTTGAGTCAGTCACCGAAATTCAATCCCCTCCGCAGACCTTTCAGGGTTCCGTAGTCGGAGTTGTAGTCGGTCGGAGTCGACAGTTCTGACCAGAGTCAGAGTCAGCTAGTCGATTTTGAAAGCCAGAGTCGGAGTCGGAGTCACCAAAAATCCATTGCCTCCGCAGACCTGCTAGGGCTGTGGAGTCGGAGTCGGTCAGAGCCGACATTTGAAATCAAAGTCAGAGTTGATTTTTGAAAGTCTGAGTCAGAGTCCGAGTCATCAAGAAACCCATGGACGATCCGCAGTACCATGCAGTAATGGCGCTGCCGATCGATGCCCTGAATTGCCTAATTTATTAATTGAATGAATAGATGGCAATTAATAAGGTACCTTCTATTATTCATCCCTTGCCACTTGGAGGACTATACTTTCAGTAGAAAAAGACGCATTATTTGTTTGTTTTTTTATTGACAAATATTTTTGAGCAGTTAGTGATACAGACGCAAAACACAATGATAGCACCTCGCTGGTGCAAATTATTGCTAGATAGATGTTGAAATGTGTTGCCATTGAAGAATCCACTGATTTTCCTGGCAGCTCTCTTTTTCAAGTAACTACTGGTCTTGTAAGATCTCTTGATTGCTCACCGTCTGGCGTCTAGTTCCAAGATTTTCTGAAAGCTAATCAAACGTTACCATGGCTGCTCTTG